GCATGCTAATGATATTGTTTGCAAGTTGCACGTTGCACCTGTGGCTTTTCTTTGTTCAAATAATTCTGAAATATAGGTTTTAGAAAATAAATAGGTAAAATGAAAAATAACAGAGCAGATTGTATTAAAACTAAACTAGGTATGCGGTGGTAAATACAAAATAATAAAAATAAGTGGAACAAAAGCACAGTTAGGTAAGTACATATTTTCATAGTTATGAGTTCACATTACCGTAATCTATGGCTATGAGCGTCCCCTAAATTTCTTCCTGAACCCGATACTCAGTGACGCAACGAGGGGGGCTTTAGGGGTTAAACCCTTCACCAGACACACACGCGAACCCAGACAATTTTAAAAATGAAAAAGTTAAACCTCCCAAATTTTTATCAAAATAATAATAATAATAATAATAATAATAATAATAATAAAATTTTAGTTTTGAATTTTATTTATTTTTAACAAACCTAGGTACACCTATGTCCTATAGGCGTATCTATAACGTCAAAAAAATGTTTTTATTTGCTTATGGAACCAGAATTATTTTTTTTTGTTATAAATGTGGCCTTAAATTTTCCAAATTAACCTGTAAAAGGTACATTTTTATTTTCGAATACCTGGCAAAATTATTTTTTACTAAAACAAAGTAACCCTCTGAAAAAAACATCTTTTTAACAGACAAAAATTAATAAAAAAAAAAAATAGAACTAATTGTTACGAGTGAGCTATGATTTTGCTTACTTTATTTTATGAATTATTAAGTAAATTTTAACGCATTTACAAAATATCCATTAAAGATTGGAATCGAGAATGTATGTTTCTTGCTGATGAGTCCTAAAGTTGGAAGCGGTCAAAAAAATGTCGTCATCCTTGGTAAGCAAAATAATTTTCTCTACTCTTTTTCTTTGGTTACAGTTCAATGCCTGTTGTAGTATTAGCCAAAGGAATCCTTGTTTTCCGGAGGGAAACGGTAGTTCGTTATATTTAATGACACATGTAGGTGTATGGTTTAGAAATTAATTTTATTATAAAAATTAATGATTTAAAGACATCATTTCAAATATCTGTTTCATATAATTACGTATAATCGTTTATTATAGAGGATTTTTAATAAATTGTCCTCCATGTTGGGGACTCAAAACTGAGACAGTACATATGCAATTTTCATTATATTCGTATGTATGATTAAGAAAATGAAAGAGAGTATGCATGAGAGAATGGATATGTCCTTCAAGTGCGGTGCCACAATAAGCCTTGAGAGTTGCAGTGCTGCCACGCCTAAGATTTTTAAAAACAGCTTATACATTTTTAATCAATTGACAGGCTTATATAGCGACTACTTTTCCTGTAAAAATTAAAATAAAACAACTTTATATTGTTATAAGCTTTATTAAAAATAAAAAGCAAAAACAAAAAAGGTATGAATAGGTATAATCAGTCATAAAAGGCACATAAAGGTAGGTATTGTATTTTTGATACAAGAATAAAATGATTCTTGATAACTACTGCTTTTTCTTGTTACCATCACCATCACTTTTCTTTTTCTCAATAGATTTAACTGGTTCCCCAGTTTGAGTAATCGGTATATTTTTGCATTCTATTTGTTCAACGTCAATCCTGGGCGCTGTAATGGATAGAACACCATCTGAAGACAACTTAGATTGTATTTGGTTGATATCGTAGTTTTTCGGTAAAGTGTATTTTCTCACAAAATGTCGGAAGATTTGTCCATGTTCATCTTGTTTCTCTTCATGCTTTCCTTCTATTGTAACAGTGTTTTCACCAGTAATTTTAACAGTAATTTCTTCTGGTTTGAACTGCTGAACATCCAAATTTGCCATAAACTGATCCTTTCCATAAGCTACTGTAGACCCTGAATCATATTTAGATGCAGCCGATTTCCAAGTTCTGATATAACCCGCAGGACAGCGTAGTAACAATCTTGAAAGATTTATTGGTTGCAGAAGATATTCTGGATCCAACATCATCCCAAAATGTTGGTCCATAACTCTTGATGGTCGCAAGAAATGAGAATCATCGAGCAAAAGTGGTATTAGCGACATTTTCAGTTTTCACTAGGGAATGAAAAAAAACAACTTTCAATATTATTCTCTCAAAACGCAATTTATTTTGTTTTCAAACTTGGCGCAGATATTCCGCGCTCATATATTTATATATTGATTGGATGAAACGAGAACATTCCTCAACAATCGATTCTATTTTGACCAATGATAATTTAGCATCCTAAGTTCTAGAATTAACAAGTGGCTACTTCTCGTACATCCGGAAATATTATTCATTATTCTGACTGAAATATAATGAACAGAACAAATTTGATTATTTAACGTTCTAAATTGAATATAATACGTAATCTAGTTCAAATATGTATTTTGATACAAAATGAAACTGCATTTTCTCATTTTTTGGATGGAGTTTTAGGATTTGAAATTAAAAATGGGGCTTGGTTGCTGTTTAAAATACATATGACATTATGACGTCACTACATATTTTAGCATGAACCTATGTACCCATACAAAAACATTTCGAAAATATTTAAAAACTGTTATATTGAAATATTTGTAATGTATAAATATTACGAATATAATATTTCACAGTAATATTTCTGAAATAAAAATTTTAAATCTTTCAGAAATATTATGAAACGTTGTAGAAACGTTTATAAAATATTATTATACTAAAAAAAAGTCCTTTTACATGTTTACTTAAAATACACAAAACAGAAACACAAAAATTCCACTCAAACAAATAAATATAATTTTTTAACATTATTTAATAAAATATAAAGGTGAATCGCTTCATTTCCACCATTTCCTTTAAATGCACTAATCTGAAACAAATTATAGGTACTTAAAAAGAATTTGATACAAATTATTTGATTAACAATAGTTTTATAAATATTGTTTTAAATTAACTATAATAAAACAAACAATACTCATGCCCAAATAAAATATACAGCTAAGCTTTTTAATCAGACCTGTAGAACTAATAAGTAAAACTAGGTGGAGCAAATGTAGTATTTAAATAAAAGTTAGACTAAAACTGCCTGTAAATCTTAGTGAATGAGATAAAGGGTGAGATTACAGAACGTCTGCAACTTTGCAGATCTGCAAATATGGCGGCAACTTTGCAGATCTGCAAATATGGCGGACTTACAACACTAAACCCAAATCTATTACTATGTTTAAAAACTCGATAATCTGACCCCACGAACTGTATTCAATCAAAAGGAACAGAAGACTTCATGGTTATTTAAAAAAAACGTAAAAATTGACAATCTACAAGTTTGTACGATGTTCTAACCTCATTAAGGGTGGATTTGGGTTTAGTGTTGTTGGGGGTAATAAACCACAATAAATTGAGAATTTGCAGATATTTTTTGGAATACGAAAACATGATACATGCATCTGTAAGTCCGCCATATTTGCAGATCTGCAAAGTTGCTGCCATATTTGCAGATCTGCAAAGTTGCCGCCATATTTGCAGATCTGCAAAGTTGCAGACGTTCTGTAATCTCACCCAAAGTAAATAAACCTAACCTAACTTTCAAGCATGTTTTCTGTAGTAAACTCATCAACTCAATTTCTAAATACATATTCTGCTTCCCATATAACAACAGCACAACGCATAAATAACAAAAAAAAAGCAAATGACAAAAACCGACAACGCAAACCTAAAATATTTCAGAAACTTGTGCTGTAAATGTGAAAAACAAAATCTGATGTTCCGCCAGTTATGCCCAACTACTGTTCCCGACCCTGTGTACATAAATACAATTTGCATCTTCCAACTGTTAAACTATTACTTAATAAAAAAACAAACTTTAGTAGATTTTCATAACAATGTTTGCAACATATATGTATTATAAGACATCAAAAATAATGTACCAGAAACAATAAAATTAACAATAACAGCTAAGCACTTATTTTTATAAATATCATCAACTTTAGAACTCAAAAAAATTGTGCATTGCAACTACGAGTATCAATGAATTTATTTATTAAAGTTTAACTTTGTAGAAAATAATAAAAATTTACTTTGCGCCTCTAGGCGCAGTAGTCACTACCAAAAGTTTTCGAACTGTCATCAAACCGAACAATCTCGAATTCGATAGAAATAGAGAATCTCTCGAATGACTCGAATCTCATTCCCTCTTATTCCCAGTGTTGCCAGAGTAACAAAGTAAAAAGTCGCCATAGATCAACTGTATGGAAAAGTTTCCACTTGTCGCTACAGCTTTTTTGTAATATCGGGGTCAGGAAATTGTTTTAATTAAACAAAAAAAATTGATTTTGTGGAAAAATGCAAAATAAACTTATAGGTACACAAAGAATAAAAATTAAAAAAAAAACGTGTTTTAATTTGATTCACTGTCTGAATCTGAACTTGGTTTTTTGATTTATGTTTATAAATATTATTCATTTTTAAGAATTGTTTCTCGCCGATTTTATAACTCAAACAATAATCTCTATTTCTTTTCAAGTCCAAAATAACTATTAATAATATGCCAATCAATAATTCAATGTTCATTTTTTCATTTTTGTTTTTGTCTTTACATCTAACTTATTTGAAAATATACTTTCTACATCCGCGTTTCCATGAGAGATAATAACAATAACTATTAGTATTCGTTATTTCTTCTGATTGCATAAAACGCGTATAAAAATATTGATTTGCTTCTATGAATAGGTACCGAAATTTTTTCGCCTGTGAAAAGTTGTCATTTTGGCGACTTGTCGCCCTAAACGGCAACACTGCTTCGTACCGACTAATTCTATGGAAAGTTTCGTTTTACAATTGGTCGATTTTTCGGGAACGTTCTCGATCCATCCTATCAGCAATCTCGCTATATAAACCCGCCTCCTAACAGAATCCGGCAAGTTTGATTCAAACGCTTGAGAGTTCAAAACGAGTGCGAAGAATTTACATTTAAATAAAAGAATAAATAAGTGAAGTGTTTTGATTATTGAAATTTGAAGTAGACAATGTCTATATTACCATATTTGTTGGGCCATTCCTTATTGGGACGCTCGTATCATACGCGTCCATCAAGAATTTTTGATCAACATTTTGGAACTGTACTGGACACAGATGATCTTTTACAACCGATTGATGTTGCAAACACATTATTACGCTGCCCTGCTGGATACATCAGAAATTGGAGATCTGCAGCTTCCGAACAAGATTCGGGATCCACAGTTACGTATGGAAAGGATCAATTTCAAGCAAACTTAGATGTCCAACAGTTCAAACCGGAGGAAATTACTGTTAAGCTAACGGGAGAAAATACTATAACTGTTGAAGGAAAACATGAAGAAAAGGAAGATGAGCATGGACATGTTTACAGACATTTTATTAGAAGGTACACGTTACCTAAGAATTACGATACCAACCAGATTCAGTCTAAGGGGCCTATTCAGTAACTCTGAACGACGTCGTTAATAGACGACAATCGTTCACAGACGACTTTTCTTATTCAGTAGACAACGATTGTCGTTGAAAATAGACAAACATGGTTGTAAAATTGTCGTTCATCAACGATAGCCAAAGAGCTGTCGTTAATAATATGAAGTGTCGTTATAGTGATTTTTGCATTCCCTCTCATTTTTTATTGTGACTCAGGATATGTTCTAAATAATAAAAACACTTTTTTTACAAATTTTACAACTAAATTGCCATATACCTAATACAGCAAGTAAAATTTGTAAGGAATTTTTTTCTAATTTATTTAATTATTTTAAAAATAAATCTGATTCAAAGTTAGGATTGCCCATTCAATCATTTACTATTGGATTCTTATTAACAGTGATGTTCCTAAAGTAGCACTGCGAAACTGTATCAAAACCTATATTATGGAAGTACCTATAATACTATACCTATAATACTATAACCTATACAAATTTGGTTTGTCTTTCAAATCCAATAAATACAACTTGTACTGTTCTCGAGTTGTTTTTTGTTTTTTTTTTGGAATAGTTCTGTTTTTTTTAATATATCCATACTCATTTAAATAAACCCTACATACAATACGACCAGCAAAAATGGCCCGCGAGAAACAGAATTCCTACGAATCGAGAATCGACCCCCTGATCGTGTGGTAGAATTTTTATTTTACGTTCAAAAAAAATGTCAAATATACCGGGTGTTCAAATTAAAGGGTTACAGTTAAATACCGCCTTTTATAAAAAAATCAAAGTTTAATAGTTTTTTGGGTAAAACATTTTAGCTAAAATTGTTTTTTTATAGCAAACCATAATATGGCCAACTTTTTTTCGCGCAGCAAAATTTTCGAGTAGGTGTTACTCAATAAGTAGAAATCCAATAAAAAAATGTTTCCTTTAGAAGGTTCTTGTTTTTTTATGAACTCTAAGAATACCTATGTAAAAAAATAGGGTTCCAATTTGAAAAAAAATCCACCTCGATATGGCTATGGTCATCAGCTATAAAAAAAATAATTTAGCCAAAATGTTTCCCCTAAAAAACTATAAAACTTTTGTCTGATACTTTTTTTTTATAAAATGCATATTTTTGGCGATATTTAACTGTAAAACTTTAATTTAAACGCCCGGTATAATCATGAACATACGTTCTTTTATCACAAAACACTAAATTATAATACCAACTTACTAGAAATCATCGTTCAGATTTGGTAACTAGAAACAACGTAACGACTTTGTTATTGAATAGAGTTTCAAAAATTATCGTTATAAAAGTCGTTGGTTGAACTGTCGTTAGCTTAACGATGTCGTCCATAAACGATAAATTACTGAATAGGGCCCTAAATTATCATCAGATGGTGTTCTTTCAATTACTGCTCCTAGAACTGAGGCTATCGAAGAAAGCAAGAACATTCCGATTAAACAAACTGGAGAAGCTGTAAAAGCCGTGGAGGAAAGAAACGAAGGAGAAAAGAAGTGAATTAAAAATGTTTACCAAACATTTTCATGACCTATACCTCATATCCTCGTTTATATTATTACTGTTAAATATTAAGACTGATGATTATCTGTTTGATAATTTGTATTACCTATAGATAATAAAATTTATCTTTTTCTAATTTACAATAACTTGCTTATAGTTAGCATTTATTTTTTTAATAAAATATTAAATGAAAATATGTTTTTTATTATTTGGCTGTATGTATACCTATAGGATACGTACATTATTGGTTGTAGATGTATCTTTGAGTTGTTATTAGATATTATGGGTGTAATGAAGATATTTTTTTTTATTTAAAAATTAATCAAAAATATTTCAAATAATTTAGATAAACAAATGAAAAATGTCAATAAATTAAAATAAAAAGACGAACATTTCATAATTTACAAAAAAATCTGATGTGTCCAACAGAGGCGGCTCGTGGCCTAGTCTACAAGGAGGCAGGCACACCATATTTAATACAAATATATTTCTACTAGAATATAGTGTACAGTGGCTTAAATTTCTCAAATACAATTTTAAAAAAAATTATGTACAGAATAAAAATTATAGAGGATAATATTACAAGCAACTTTTATTTGAAGAATTTTCTTCTCCAAGCGTAAATAACAGTTTTATGACAAAGAAAAATAACCACCTATAAAGTATCCCCCCCCCCCCCGATGTTTCGATTATGCCCAAAATTTAATCAGTTTACTTACCAAAGGATGGATTAAAGATTACATTTAAAATTTGGTGTTTTTCTCTGTAACACACTGACATCATCACAAAAATAGTCAAAACGGATTCAGGGGACCTCAAAACGTAAAAATCCGTCGAAAACTCGATGTTGAAAAATATTCATTCCTATACTTTCCTTATCTGTATGCAGAAAGTAAAAATAGTTTCTAATAATTATAAATGATTATCCCCTTCTTGCTACATTATAAGCCTCACTGATTTTGTGGAGTTTGCATGCCTACATAGTTTTAGAATTTTAGCCTACAAAATCAGGAGTGTGTGTGACATATATTAAAAATAATTTAAATTATTAAAAATGATTTTGTTTAGAAAATTAAATATTCTAAAAAGATTTAAATGATAAATTAAAAATCATAATTGGGAAAAATATTTAAAATCAAGATTTAAATTTAAAAAATTATCTAAATTGCAAAAATGATTTAAATCTTTCTTTGTATGAGAGCTTGGATTATTTGTGGCCTTTTTTCTTTTAAGAGAGTGTTGTATTTTCTTCAGTTGGAAAAATAGGAACTGATTTGGTATTATTTGTCAAAAAAATAAAATATTAAATATCAATAAGTGAAAAAATCTGTAACATATTATCTATCTCCTCTAACAAAAGGAAACCTACTTGATTTAACAATTTCACAGATTGTTGAATTTCTCGAAGAATCTTTTTTTAAATCATAAGTAAGCAAAATATGCATGCAAATTATTAGAATATTAAACCAAGTCATTTACATTGTATTAATTTTATAACATGTAAAAAAATAGTACAAAGTATTAACTTTTTGAAATTTTACATAGGTAATTTCATTATTCTGAGGCATGTTTTGCTTTAAAACATTAATCAACTCATTTCAAAACTTTTAAACACTCTATGTGATTCGTCCTTTTAGAAAACCAAGCCATTGAATTGTTTATTTATACAAATTAATAATATTGGTTAGTTCTATTTTAAATAGGTTTTAAAAATATTTGTGCAAAATAAAGCAAACAAATACAAAAAAGAATTTTTATTCAACTTAAAATATAATATTAATAAATATAGGACATGAAAAGAGTTTCTTCAAACATCAGTCTGAAAATTAAATTAAAACTGTGTAGGTAAATTGAGATTAACTAAACTTAGCTCATTGAAGATGGATTTTCAACTGCCTTCTCTTTTAAAGACCTAGCTGGCTGTCCAGTTTGTGAAATTGGAATTGATTTAGGTTCTGTCTTGTCGCCAATAGGAGCGGTTATACAAAGGACTCCATCTGAAGACAATTTAGATTCAACTCGATTTATATCACAGTTCTTAGGAAGTAGATACTTTCTTATGAAATGTCTGTATATTTGTCCATGTTCATCCTGTTTTTCTTCATGTTTAGCTTCGATGGTTATAATATTATCTCCTGTAACTTTTACAGTATGTTACGCCACTGTCGGGAATCCAAGTTCCCAACGCATCGAAGTGGCGTGAGAGGGCGCAGGTATCGGAGCTAGGCGCGAACTACGGTACCAGCGAGAAGGCGAGATAGCGGTGTGGCAGTTTGTACCTATTCGAGTTCCACAGTAGGCGTGTGTTACAATTGAATTTATAATTTTTGGCGATTGGCGTTGTTATTATTTTTCGGTTAATAAAAGTGATTTATTCGGGTGTGGTGCTGTTTTAATATACCCGTAACATTTCAGAAGTGGGATAGTGTTCCCCGTGTTGTGCGGAAAATCATTTTCAAAGGCGATATTGGCGTGATTTCCTGTACTCGTACCGGCGTTTGTGAAATTCCACGAATTTGTAGGCGATAGTGAACAATTTGAATTAAAACGGTGTTGTGGCGATTGGAGGCGATTGGAATAATCAATAAAAGAATCTGTAAGTACAATTTTTCATTATATTTTATCGATCGATCAATTTAGGTGCCGCTAACAAGCTTCAGCCTGTAGTTTTAAACCGCTAAGGCGCATGTCTGACGTAACGAGGCGGCCATTTTATCAATTCTGAGAATTCTGCATGCCGGCTAGGCATGGGCGTAACGTGAAAAAGGGGTATGAGTGAAAATAAATTAAATTTTTGGATTTGGAGTGATTTATTGGCATTTATTTTATTGGAAATGATATACAATGGTGGAATTTTATTATTAGTGGAGAAAATAATTATTTTAATGGCGGTATAAAAATTATTTTTGCCAATTTTTAATTAATGAGGCCTAGGCGTATTTCAAATGTAAAATCGACGTCGAAAAGGGTGTTTTGGAGTTAATTATAGAAACCAGAGGCGTACTAAATAATTTTAAAAATATTTTATTTTTCAAAATAGGTGTTTTTGGGCGTGAGGTGACGTTTAATGTACATTACTAGTATTTTTGGATGGCGATCATTATTTAATTGATGTTTTATAGGCAATCCTATTGGATTGTTATTCTACGAATCGAGTCGCAGGTGACAATGAGTGGCTAGATCGCGCTGGTGTCCCTCAGGTTAGACTGTTGCCCTTCCGATCTTGTCTGTGTTCTTCAGGTCAAACTGATGCCCTTCAGATCTGTGCTGGTGTCCCTCAGTCAGCCTGTTGCCCTTCCGATTGGGTCCGATTGTCACCTAGCGATTTGATTATCACTAGGATTGGGTTGTAGGTGTCAGCGAGTGACTAGATCGTGGTGGATCGGGTCACGGCTAACACTCAGTATGTATTTTACTAATTTCTTTTGTTCTGTTCACAGG